CCTTCCCGCCATGGAAAATCCAAGGAAAGAGACTGGTCAAGAAGTGCCATGATAAATACTGCAGTGTGTAGTTTTTCAGAATTTATATTGTATTATTTATGTTCTGTTTAAAACACTGGAAGCTACAAAGTGGGGAAGCCCCGTAGAGATTTTTGATCCAAAGTCACCAGATTTGAGGAGCACTTCACTTATACTTCTCACCAGAAACGTCTATGTTCTCATTGAATTACTTCAAAGGTTGATATATTGGGGGGATGGGGAAGAATTAAAAATTATAATGAAGAAACTCCCTCACACACACACACTGGTTATAAAAGGAAGAAATGTATCTCCTATATTTAGGAAATAGTTGCATTTCTCTTCTTTTGAGTTTTGACTAATTATATTTTTGTATTATGTGTGAACACAAATCTGCAGTTAACTTTAGTGAAAAAAACTAGTTTCTATTCTCAAGCTATGTTTTAATGATGGTTTGTTTCCATTAACTACAATTAACACTAAAGACAGTTGTAGAAGTTCAAACAGCACAGCAAGCTGTGAGAGTTTCAAATGGATGTAAATGAATTCAACTTCCTTTTCATACTTGCACTGGAGAAGAGGAAGTGGAGAGGGTAAGCATAGGCAAGGGGCCACTATCTCTTCTATTGGAGCCCTGCAGATGTGGAGCAATGCTTGAATGAAAGGTGCAATCCCTCACCTTCACAAAACCATTCATCTTAAAAGGAAGGAACATATGTGGGCACTTAGAAGCTTCCCTATTAATTCTTCAATTAATCAACTATCCTATACCTCATATATAGATTTAATAACCTATCTGAATAATGTGGATTTTGCAAATACAATATTCATTTTTCTCATATTTAGAGCAAGACTAAAACGTCTAGTTTGGATTAGTGAATAGTATTAATAGCCGGACCTCCAACTCCATAAGACCTTTTGGACAGTGGAAATACATTACATTTTTCTAGTTAGGACTTTGCTCAAAAACCAGAGTTGGGAGACGAGAGGCTTTAGGCTCAACTGTGTGGGGAATTCCATAATCCAAACACAATTCCTTCGGCATTTTATTAGGGATGATTTAGTCACGAACCCAATTTTTGACAGGCAGAAGCTATAGAATTTGTTGGTTTAAAAAAGAGGAACTGCGCAGATCCTCTAATGGACAATTGCTGGCAGGATAGAGCAGAATTGCTCTCAATCACCCCAGTAAACAAAACTGCCTATACAGAAATTTAATACAGAATTAAATCTTTAAAAAACAGAGAAGCCATTTTTGCTTTTCCACTTGATAACTAATAAAACATTCACATTTCAGGTATTTCATTTTCAATATTAAAATTCATAGAAATCTAGCATTTTTTTTTAAAAAAGTGCTTTTTAAAAGAGTGGGATAGAGATATACTTGTCCTTCTGATTCCCGGGTTTAGATAAAACCAATCTACTGTTATAATCTCTTGCCCAAGTATAATACTGATATCAATGAGGCAGGTGAAGGGGACATAATTGGATAAGAATCGGTTACGCTATTTATAAGAATGGGGGAATTTTTAAATTTTCTTATATTCTTTGGTCCTTCAAAATAAGACAGACAGAGTAGGTTGTGGCATGCATGTAAATACACACACAATTTCTTTTTCACATTCCACCAGCAATTTGCCAATGGAGTTGGGGATAGGAATTGGGTAATCAACAATATTGTACAGAGTTGTCAGTTCTTGGAAAAAGATTTCTTAAAAAAAAAAAAAATCTAAATTTAAGTGACACCAAGTGTATTGGTGACACACTTCCTAAAGAATTCTGTTGAATTTAATAAAGCTATGGCAATTCAGGATATATCCCACAAAGTCAACAATTCACTATGGACAATCACATAGAAAGGCAGAGGAAGCAATAAAACACAATGTTTACAAAAGTAAGTGTTACAAATCAGTCACCACCAGAGGATCTGCAAATGGCTGCAATTCTGTATAAACACTATAGACCCGATTCAAAGATTTTATTTCCTATTATTTTTAAATTAGTTACCAAAATAGTTTAGTACATTTCCAGCAGAGTATTATTCCCCATAATTTAAATGTATTGTATCTGTATGTATTTTTTTAAAAAAATGTTCACATATTTTAAACAAACAAGCTTTCTTTAAGACTGAAGCATGTTTCCTGACCACGGAGACCAGGGATGCCTCATGGCACAGACATTCAAAGGCTATAACCAAAAACAACACAGCTACAAAGAGTCAGCCAGCAGTGTCTCTCCATACATAAAAAAGCCAATTAAGTGTTTTTTTTTAAAAAAAAATGAAGAAAACAACAGATACTAGTACAACATACACATTGAAAAAAGCAGTTTTATCAAACATAAAAGTTAATTTTAAAAAAAACCTAACCAGAGCTGCACTTTGAGATTATCTGGGAATGCATATTTAACCCTCCAAATATAGAAGGGCGGAATTATGGAAGCAAATCTAATGATGTATTTGAATTACATATGGAAAAACTATCTTGATGGTGAATGGCTGGATCCCTCTTATGAAGACAAGAGTTTCCAGTGCTTTTTTCAGCTTAGGGAAAAGTGGGTCAACTACTGCAAACAAAGCAAAGGGAGTGAGATTAAATTCTAAATGTTACACTTTTACACATTAAACAACTCCCAGTGCAAAATGGGATTAGAGTCCTTCTAGACTGGACTGTTGCTTTTCATCGTCCGGAAGCTGTTGCGCTTGTCTGAATAAGAACAAACTGCAGTGAGAGCTCTATCACTCAGGGACAGTAGGACAACACATTCACTGGATACAAATTTTAAAACAGAAATATTCCAAACCATAAATTTCAATGAAAGTCTGTTGGATTTAGGGCCCAATATCATTTTTTTAGAACTTAACACACATAATCGAACTATCAACATAATCAGTGAGTTGACACTCCTTTGTAAAACACTCTGGGGAGAGTGCACATGGATTCTCAAAGGAAGTGATTCTGATGCTGCAATCTGAAGCATATCGACTAGGAAGCAAATTCCAGCGAGTTCAGTTGGGCTAAATTCTTTGTAAACATGCTTAGAATTACTCCACATGTTGTTGTTGTTGTAACTGATTTTTAATACAATCTGCTTAGAGCCTGGACATTTAACTCATGCTGGCCCACAAAAGCATGAAAAATAAATGGCTACTCCTGCAAACCCAGCTGATTGTTGCCTGGGACTCAAGTTACCCAAGACAGTTAGTTACTGTCCATCTGTTTTAAACAACAAGCCAAACTTATGTATTCCTCTGGACCGGATGCACTGCATCCAGAAAGTGGATAATAAGAGTGGACATTTCAGTCCAAGACAAAAGATTGCCTGTATTGTCTGATTTATGTATTTGTCTAGTAAGTCCACGACAAGGAACATGCTTAGAGATTCAGACATTTTAGTCACTGGGGGATGATATACATTATCTTCATTGGAGTTGTCTGCTGGCAGAAAGGGAATTTGTACTTACCAAGGGAGTTAATGGTGATGCTAAACTAAGGGTTAAGTTTGGAGATACTTTGTGAAAAAAAGCAGAGCAGTAGGAAGGAAAACATTTCTTATTGGCGGTATAAATGCCAAAATAGAAATGCAGGAGAGTAAAGACCCATCTCCTCTCCTCTCTAGAATCATTCTTTGGATTCTCCAAACACAGGGTGTATCCTGTGCAGGCTCAAAAAATATTCCCATCCCCAAGAGAATGGTCACAAGAAGGTGACTAGTGAAACATGGGATTAATGTAATTGATCCCCAAAGAACACCTAATGTAGATGCTCAAGGAAAGCTTAAAAATTTCAAGGAAATGAGAAAATTTCCTAGTAATAAGGAAAAAGGAATGTATTTTGGAACTGAAGCAGTGTGGTTTCTGAGCATAACTTTCCCTTCTCTTTCTCTTACATGTGGTGAAATGTGGCCCTTGTGGTATTCATGATAAATCTATCACAAGAATTTAAAGTGGATTAAGAGCTTTAATTCCTAAACAGCTAACTAATTGCAAAGGAGGATATTGTGACATCTTACATTCTTCATCAATTTTCATCCTGCACTGTTGCAGTCACTACTTCTAGCTATTTATGTTCAGGGTGAAACATTTTGAGAACTTGCATCCTATGACCAAACACATACAATGGCTTCTAAATGTTTGCAAAACTGTCTTTTTTTCTGTGGTTTTTTACCATAAACTCTGTATTTTTGCAGAAATTACTAGTTTAGGGAATCCAAGTTTCGTTCAGTTTGCAACTCTTAACAAAAGTCATCAGCTATGCTATGTAAACCTTATCAGATGTTTTCTAGTATTAAATGTGGATAAAGATAGGAAAAGAAACTTTGTTGCCTTATTGCAGGCAGATAAAAATATAGCAAGTAACTATCTTCTCTATGACATTCTGCCCATGTTTGTGTTGGTGACAACTTACTCTAAGTTAACAATATGAAGTGCTGCACAGTTCAGGAAAGATGATTTTGTGCCGCATCTTCCCCATTTCTGAATGCACAAAGGACCATCCTTCTCTGAACTATAGAACAGAGTTTGCTTTCAACTACAACACTTGTAACAGCACCATTCATAGATAAGAATGATAAAGGAAATATGTTGATTTGTTTCTTCCTACTGGCAAGAAATACCAAGTATTCAATACTAAACAACTTAAATAACTGAGCTAAGCACAGCCCACTATGTATTGCAATCTGTAATCAGGTTTTTTAAAAACCAGAATGCTCAATTTCTGCAGGGAGGCAAAAGCTAGAAAATTTAATGGATTGTGTTTGGTGAGTTATAAACTTATCTTAGACAGACCGAAAAGACCCAAGGTGGCTCCATTATCAAAGCCTGATTCTGAAGCTCTTCTCCACTTCCATGATAATGCAGATTACAAATTTGAACTTTTCTCTTTACAAGGTCCCACTCAAAAGTGCCACTGAAGTTTCTCAAAGTCTTACTGCAGAGTAATGCTGATGAAAAATGTATGTTAACGTTGGCCTCATCTCTACAGTGTGTTTTGTGTTTTTATTCCTTGGACAGAATTAAAGAAGTATACAAAATGACTTTCAAAAAAGGAACTTCTGGTTTTCCAAGAGACAAGTCAAGAAACTTTCACAATACTGGAGACCACAAGAATGCTGAATAATTGAGGCTCATAAGCAGGGACTACTGACCGGCACGGGTAAGATTATTATGGCTGCAAAAAGCCTGTGAAAGAAGTGTTTCAGAAAGCACACAGCATGAAGAAAGAATCGCTCTTCCAATTGTTAAAGCAAATTAATCTTTTGTAAGATTTATCCAGCAGCTTTGAAAGCCATTCTTGGAGTGAGCATTGCAAAAGATACAGCTGCCTTAGCAATTCAAAGAAAGATGTCTTGCTTTTTTGTGCATTGCAAAAGAGTTGCTTCAAAGACTTTTGCACACCTGTAACGGTTGTGATACAAATAAAAATACTAAATACTATAGTATGAAAGAAGGAAATGAATCGAAAATTTATTTCTATCTTTTCTCTTCCCCCAAAGCCCTAGCTTGGAAATCACTTGCAAACTCTCTTCATCCTCCCTCTAAATATCTCTCCAGAAAAGGCTAAAAAAAAGATTATTTCCTAAATAAAAAAGGGAGGGAGGAGAAACAGATTTTGCAAATGGCCCTTTGATCTATATTAAAAAACTGCTCTAAAAGTCCCTAATGTGTTAGAATTAATTGGGACTGCATGGGTGGGGAGCAGGGATCCTTTAAATGGGAGATGCAAAGTATTAAAAAAGTGCTCTGCAACTAATATTTTGTTTTTATGTGTGTGTGTGTGTGTGCATACGTACATATATACACACACATTCACACACAGATATATATAGACATATATATATATCTGAAAAAGTTTAAAAATTCTATGTGATATGCTAAACAAATGTCCTAGTACAGTCACGACTGGAGAGCATGTGGCCTGTTGGGATGGCAGATGGGACATTCACCCTCCTCGGCACATGTTTCACACAGCACAGTGTGTTGGCACGGTAGTACCACCCGGTTCTCTTCCTGGCACTTGAGGCATTTCACCGACTGCATCTGAAACACTGCCTGAAAAGAGAAGAAATGGGATGGGAGAAAGGAGAAGCAAAGGGGGATTGTTAGTAAAACAGAATGTTCTACGTTCAAAAAGCAACTATTGAAGGAGCCAGAGAGAGTCCAAGGGGCTGGGGAAGGAGCACTCAAAAGAGAAGGACATTTCATTTGTCCAGTTTTCTATGTAGCAATCCAGTCTTGTGTTCCTCTAACTGGGGTAGGTAACCTTCTTCTTCTTCTCTATCCTCTTTCCGGAACTTATTTTGCAGCTCAGCAGAGCTGTCAAATAAATGGACTCCCTTGATATATTAACGCCTTGATCCAGGAAACTATTACAAGAAAAATGGCCTGGTCTGCAACCATAAAGAATATGAGGGGTGGGCAATCCATTGCCTGCATCCAACTCTGGTACTCCCTCAGAACCCGTGAAATATGGTAACAATTGCTGGGTTTGGATGATGCAGTTTTTGCTTGATTTGGGGAGCTTTCTGCTGCCTAAGTGAAAATGGGAGTATAAACACCCTTCCCCCCCACAAGGTTAAAAGTCACCAGGGAAAGCCACCAGCAACTTTGGAGACTGAATTACGACTCCATGATGTAGAATAGGTTACTAACTACTGCCAAGCATAAAAGCAGACTGGCAGATTCTTTTTATTCAACCTCCTCAACTCCAAACAAAGTAAACTAAAGGCTGAGGGGAAGCCCATGCAAAGAAAATGTGTATTGTAGACTATTTACAGTTTGGGGTGAAAGAGGTCCATAATTTTTCCCATGATTTTTCTACAGTATTTGCACTAATATAATAGAAGAAATGGAGACAGAGAATTTTTTTTGTAAAGATAATATTTTTTTAAAACTATTGACCAATTTCCCTTTTCCTTGCCTTTAGTCTCTTAAAATAATGGCAGAGAAACCAAATAATGCATTGAGATTTTAATCATTGCAGGTAGTCCTTGACGTATGACCATAATTGAACCTGGAATTAGTTTTAAGTTGTTGCAGTTTTAAGTCGAGGAGTCATGGGATTCTTCTTTTTACAAAGGTTGTTAAGTGAACACTGTGGTTGTTAAGCAAACACAGTCATTATTAAATGAACATGATGATTGTTAAGTGAATCCATTTTCTCCAATAGAGAGTTTTTGCTGGCACCAAGAAATCGGAAACCAACCAAAAATGGTGCAAATCATGGTGATGTGACTGTGGAATGCTGGAAATGGCATCAAGGTGAGCCAGTTGCCAAGTGCCCGAAATACGATGATGTTGTAACTCCAAAAATATGTTATAAGTAGTTTACAGGAGGTCCATCATAACTTTGAACAGTAGTTAAATAACCAGTCATAAATTGAGGACTACCTGTACTTGAGCCTGTTTTCAAGATAAAAGGCCAGCCTCACTTTGATCTGAAGAGCAACTTCCTTGTATTTAGTCATGCCTGAAGAACCCCCCCTCCCCCAATTCCCTCTTCTGCTGAGAAGAGCTGCATCCTGATAGAAAAATCTTCTGCGATTCCTTCCAGAAAAATAGGGCCCAACATTTAAACTTCATTGTTCATTTAACTTATTAAAAAATCCCATCATGAGTTAAATGCAACTTAAAGCTTCCATACTTCCACTTCAAACTCACCTTATCAACTCTTTCTAAATTGGCACGCAACTGTTTTTGGAGATTATAGAGTGTGGACAAGGAGAGATTCTCTAAATCAGAGAATGAGCGCAGGAACTGGGGGTCCTGGCCAGTATGGATCCGCTCGATTTCTTCCTGGAGTTTCTTGACTTGCAGTTCCAAGGTCTCTCTCTGCTCCCGGGCTAACTCACATTCTAGGGTTGCTGTACTTGCACGATCATTAGCTTCCTCTGCTTCTTTTTTCCATGCATCACAGGCCTGTGTATCCAAAGTAAAGTAATATTAGTAGCTTTTCTTAATTGTTTCATATGACGAAAAACAGCTGTTTTTAGCCATTTGCAATTTTTTCAATTGTCACTTTTTTCAGGGCCATCTTAACTCTGAACCATCATTAGACAAATGGTTGTAAGTTGAGGACTACCTGGTATGTCTAGATATCTATATCTCACTTAAAGAAATGGACAGATTCCTGTGATACTAAATTGTAGCCACCTTATAATACCTTCCGGATATAATCTAACAACAGGATTGGAAGAACCACAACACCATATGACTTTGGGGATGCAACTCTACTAGGCTGCAACTATGGTTGACAATTCCAAGAGAACTAAAAGTGCTGCACTCTTTGCATCCGGTTCCCAAAAAAGTTATCTACCAAAATTGACAAAGCAGCTTTAGTTACATCACCTATCTAAAAGCCAAATTAGTTCAAATAATCAATATTAGTCGATGTTTCTACAGGAGTTGCAACCTGATACCTTCTTATTCTCCTAAATCACGGGTGTCAAACTCACAGCGTCACGTTGCCGTCACGTGATGTTTTGCGACTTTTTTCCCCTTTGAGGAGCTGGGATGGGCACGTGACGCATCCAGCCCACGGGTCACCAGTTTGACACCCCTGCCTTAGGTCAAGAATAGTATTGTAAGTGGCTGCACTACTGCTGCATCAGTGAGATGGGCAGCATAAAAAATTAACAAATAAAAATAAATAGTATATTGGAGACTGTGAAGGAAAGGAGAATATCATTTTAGAGGTGAAGCACAAGTTAAGCTGCATGAACCTTTAAGTAGATGAGTCCAAATTCAAATTAGAAAAGCTAATACTCTTGAACAGGTATCCCCAACCCCTGGGCTGCAGTCCACCACTGGGCCTTGAGCCATTCAGAACTGGGCCGCAGAAGTGGCAGGTAAGTGTGCGCAGTGCACACATCCCCACTTGTGCGAGCAGCAGGCAAGCATGTGCATGCATGTTCCATTTGCACGAGCAGCAAGCGTGTGTGCCTGATGCTCGCACAGAACCATCCTTTCTCTCCCACTTGCCGGTCTGCAAAGCCAGAAAAGTTGGGGAACTCTGTCATAGAGGAACTCAAGAAAGCTTGGGCTGAGCATCACAACTTGAAACCTACTGCTCTGCATACCTAAGATATCAGTTTTTTTCTTTGTCCATTAGTAAAAAGATCTGTGGGGAGTTTATATTACAAATCAATTATGCCAGCTGAGCTTCTGTCTACTCTCTTAGATCTCAAATTACTCATTACTCTAGGGCTACCAATAATGGTTTAGGAAACCAACCAACCACACACACACACACACACACCCTGCCAACCACACTACCTGTTTGGCTTGTTTCCAAGAATCTTCCCACTGTTTTATCGTGCTGTTAGCTTCGTCTAATTCTTGCCGCAACCTGGCCAGTTCAGCAGCACCTGGACCTGACAGAAATGCAGGTGAAGTACTGGGTGAAAAACTTCCTGAAGCAAAATGCTCCCATATGCTGCTGTTCATTCCATTTAAACCTGTTTCACGTGGAGACAAGAAAAGCATGTTATTTCACATTTCTTTTTCTTGTCCCAAACTATTTTTTTGAAAACTAGAATAAAATGCTGCTATTTTTTTACGGGCAATACTGCATCTGAAAACCGTTTGGGAGGGATATGTATATACGTGCACTATCAGTCTGCCACTTCAGCTTTAGCAAAAAGAGTGGCAGCTGACCATCTTGTGCCAACGATGCCCAGAAACAGTTTCGTAGTACACTTAATCCACAAATGCAGTGTAGATAGATACAGGATGAATTTACCTAGTGCAGATTCACACAGAGCACATGAGGAACGAATATACCATAAACTCTCGGTAAAGGCTTAGGCTTCAGGGAACAGCAATCAGCGCACAGATGCTTAAGAACAAAATGAAACAGTCACCCATTATTTCATACTTTGTTAATATCTTTAGGACACATTTGATGCCATATTAAGTTAGATATCTTTTAGAATTCTGGCATGATCGAACCCTGCCCTGCTGTCTTTTGCCTGGCCACTCCTGATTGGCTACTCTTGCTAGTGGGAACAGTTAAAGAAACCCACTGAGATCCAGCCATTAAGTGACAATTGAAAATTCTGACTTGTTTAGCTCTAAAAAAGCCAGAATCATAATATACAGCAAACTATGGTTGATAACTCTGACTTATTAGGAAAGAAATAAAGAAATCTCAGTTCACACATTAAGGAAATGAGATGGAGGAATCGGAGTTTGTTTAGCTGTTCCTATGGGCAGAAGCCAAGTTAAAGTAGCATACAGCTAATTCATGATGCTGCCAGAAGTCTAAAAACCTGGATCTGAATATATGTTGGCACTTATTCAATTTTTCTCTACCCATTTAATTTTGAAAATACACATAACACTCTCTTCTTAGTATTACATCCGTTATATCACAGTATCTTCCTTTTCATTTCAAATACACAATTGTTAACAGACCAAAGTTCCATCTGGACATTTCGTGGAAAAATTATAGTAAGAGTATATTAAACTACAGTAATTTTATTTCTCTTTTGTTGTTAATTTGCATCAATCAATTTACAATAATGTAGAGAGTGCCCTCAACTAGATCCTCAAATGTTAATTTGAGAAATCTTTTCATCACAACAGACCAATGTATCTTTAGATAAGGCACTGGAATAAGGCACAGAATCTGATATTAAGGGGGGGGGGAATATACCACCCACTATATTTTATACTATTTAAAGTGTGACTGTAAAAATCCAGTATCACACAGGGATACTTCTAAGAGAAAAAGGACTGGCTAATTTGCTCTGCTGAGAGAATATTTGGATGGTAAAATTGGTTCATTCTTGAAAACGATACAAAGTAGGCTTCAGGATCTACTCCATTTAAGTCACAGCATACAACCATTCCATATCTGGTGGAGATAAACGAATTTTCTTCCACTTTCTGCCAGAGATCATGCGGAAAAAACGGAATGAAGTGTTTAGTTTTAGAATATAAGTGTGATCCACCATGAACAAAGAGAAGAAAGAAGAACAAAGGAGACTCTGTCCTCTAATAAGGATGGATCTATTTCTTACTAAACATTTGCTCAGATAAGGAAAGATGCTGTAAATCAAATGAGTTTTTGTAGGTATCTTTCTGCTCTAGGCATCGTATGAAAATGTTTTCCCCCCACACAGAATATATAGTTTACTTTCAATTTAAGTTTGCTGTTCAGCAGCAGTGCTTAAACTACACTATAAAAAGCATGGCTATAATCTTGAAATAAATTGGCCACAACAGAATTGCCAAATCGAAGGCACACAGTACTGCAGAAGAACTCAAAGCATAAAGAAATATGCTTATAGCAAAATTTATTTTTTAAAATTCTACATATTTTAGGTCATTCATCATGTTGATTTGCTATCATGTTACTGCTGACACTGTTTTTTTGTAAGCATGAAAGCTGTTTATGTTTTGGCAGGAACAAAAATTCTAGAGCTAAATTACTCGTTGAAGATAATATTTCCTTCTGTCCATTAGCCTTATGCAGCCCCTTGTGTGAGATGCCTTTTACAGTGCAAGCCTTACATGTCAGCTTAGAAATCAGTTCCACTCTAATTAAATTAGGAGCTACCTCGAGGTCAGAGTGTACACAACTGCAATAAGAATAACTCAAATGCTCATTGTTGGAGATCCCTGTATGTATGTGATAACGGATGATGCAAACCGAGCACAGATATGTGCACTCCTTTCAGAGAAAAGAGTTTTTCTGAACTGGATATAATCACCTTATAGCAAAATCAATGCTGTTGTATTACTGTATAAGGAATCCTGGGAAATGAATGTTTGAGTATTGATTTCAGTGCAATATATTTGTTTAGGACCTTCAATCATATCCTATATTTTCTGTCCTTTCTTAAACCATGGGGTGCATCAGTCTGTTCTGCAATCATCTCTTATAATCTGCCTGATCTGCCATCCCTACTTACTAAAGTGTGTAAATTGCACAGTGCTGAAAATCAAAAGTGTTGTAATATATGGAACATGAGTTCGTTCAAAGTAAATGATCACAGATGTGACAAGACATGTATGACTGAACATGTGAAAACATATGACTTGATTTTAAGATCTCTTCACCTCACCTTTGAAACAACATTCCCGCCTTATTCTTCTATCAATCAATCATTCTTCTATCAATTCTTAATTTTTAGTCAATTCTTAATCTTTTAATTCATATATCTTACCTATTGTGGAATAAAAATCAGTTATGCTATACAAACGTAGAGGACATTAGGTAAATATTGGTTTGCGAATGTAAAACATTAGCCTAATTTAGTAAACTGAAACCAATAAACTCTCCACAACTCCTTTGTTGTTTTCAATGAAAGTGTTTCACAGCATGACTACATTGGAGTCTGATTGGTTACATATAATTAAAAAGATATAGTTTCCATCAAATCAAACTCAATTCTTGGTGATTATATGGAAATGTCTGCGTTGTCTCCTTGGTAACAAAAATAACTGGTTTGTTATTGTTTTCTTCTGGGATGTTTCTTCAATTTCTCAGACTAACGTACATAGTATATATAATATAATAGAAGCAGCACACTGCTCAAATTTGTAAAGTGCGCTACAGTTATTAGTACTTCCTTCATTAAACACAAAACGTGTCCCAAGGCCTCATTTTAATGCCAGAGTTTAATGTTAGAACATCTGATCCAATAATGAATGCTTCTATGCCTACTGATGTAAGATTAACACAAAAATGAGGAAGATGCTGCTTTAAAATTGACATATAAAGAGAAATATTTTGTTCAGGTGCTGTCAGAATATTTGTTTATAAGAATCATATTTGTAAGTAAAAGCAATGTAGGCACAGTATGACAAGTTTATTTTAAGTGAATTAAAAGCTGATAACTAATGACATTTCATATTCATACAGTTTTTTATAAATTATTAATAGACATATCCGTATCCAGTTTCACCCTGTTTGGGACTCCTTAAATGTATGCTGCCACTGATTTCCCTATGGAATTCAAACCCTCAGTCAAGAATTGAAGAATGGAATTTAGGGGAATTGAACTGCTGTTCACATAGTTACTATTGAATGGGTCTACTTGCATATTTGAGATTTAATTTGTTTCAATCTGAAATCACCTATCCAATACTAAATCAGATGTGAGTTCAAGGCTCAGCCTTTCCTCTGAAATCCATGCACAATTAGTAATTATCCTTTGTTGTTAGTCTCCGATGGTACAGATCATACTTGACTTTCTACCACATTGGGACCAGAATTTCTGTTGCTAAGCAAGGTGGTTGTTAAGTGAGTCTTGCCTGATTTTATGACCTTTTTGGCACGAGTGTTAAGTGAAACATAGCGTTTGTTATGTGAATCATGCCATTGTTAAGTGAACCCAGCTTCCCCCCACTGACTTTGCTTAAGGGAAGCCAACTGGGAAGATTGCAAATGGCAATCATGTGACCCTGGGACAATGCAGTCATCAGAGAACATGCCAGCTGCCAAGTGCCCAAATTTTGATCATGTGACAGTGGGGGATGCTGCAATGGTTTTAAGTATGAGGGCTGCTTGTAAGTCATTTTTTTCCGGTGCTGTTGTAACTTTGAACGTATGTTGAACAAATTGTTGTAAGTGAAGGACTACCTGTACTAAATTTATTTGATTCATTCTTTGTCTGCAACATAGTCCTGTTCAAAAAAGTTAAATCCTCATCACTGACCTTAGATCTAATGAATCTTTTCTGATTATACAGAAACTGGGCAATACATTATGTTAGATGGCAACAAAAATGTGAACATTCAAATGAAAGTTAATTTAAAAAAAAAAAAAGGAAAATACTTACATGGCATAGACAGTGAACATGTTAACAGATATATTCTCATGCTTACATTGGGCATTTACCTAATGATCCATGAGAAGCTGATGTCCCCAGGAAAGTATTTTCTGATTGGCTTAAGTGTCCCTGGGACTGATGGAGGAAATGCGATGATAAGCTGACCGGTGGAGAAGGAGAAGCAGAGTGAAAGGAGGCAGAACTTCCAAGGGACCCAGGGATATTTACAGGAGCAGAACTTTGCAGCAAACTCCCACCTGGACAAAGAACACACAGAAAGTATGGGAATGTAGAAGCCATGAACTATGAGTGGAAGCACAGCACAGGAATTTGAACAGCAGGTGTTTGCTTCACTCTCTGCACCAGTAAAAGGATGGGTGAATCCAGGATATTCCTCTAATCTCTATCTTTCTACACCTTCAGAGCTGGTATTATAGGAATTGTCCCTACGGCCAAGGAAAGTTAAAAAGTAAACTATTGAATGTTAGTTGCAAAACACTAGGAGTCAGGGTTAGGGTTAGAGTTAAGAATCAGAAGTTCTCCAGTAAACAAAGGACAGCTTACAATCTAAGAGATATTTAGAAAGTTAATTTTCAATTCTTATAGCTCCATAATGACACTATTTATATACATGTTTAAATTAAATTAATTTTCTACTATCCCCATTTTTTGTTAGTTCAAGAGACTACATTTTTATGACAACTGTAGTATCTAGTAATGATTATCATGATTATATATCATAATTAGAATATAATTATGATTTATGCTTTTTTCAGAACGGGAAAATATGTGTTCATCAAATCATATAGATTAAGAAGTACATTTTTCAAGAACAATCATTTGAATTAAATGGCATCTCCACTTTTTATAGATCATGCCAAAGATATTCTTGCAAGCTGAACCTCCCATTCCATCGTAAGGATAAAAGTTTGTTAAGATACAGCAAATGGGGCAGACTTCTGTATTCAGGTACTGGGCCAAAGGGAAAAAAATGGAGCTTAACTTCTACACACAGAAACACACTCATAAGATGTTCTACCAGAAGAGATCGGTAAACTGATAGCACAGCAATTATTTATGTTTCATCTACAGGAAAGGGAGTAAGGTAAATCACCTTCCCATTTGGCTAGAGGAGCCAAAGTTGCATGGCACAGTCAAAAAGAAATCAAACTCACTAGCCCATGAAAGTTGTTAGTGTTGGAAGAAGAATTTTTTTCCTCAGTTTTGATAATGCTTGGCACATAGCACTGCCTGTGAAAGCTTCAAAATTAAAAGGACTCCTACGTGGCGCAGAACTTCCCATCCTCCTTTTTTACCCTAAAAGTTTCAACTGTAGATCAACCAACCTGTTCTTCTGCTATGGTATACTGAGATGGCTTGCAAGGCAACCAAGTTTTCCAATAATCTGAAAAACCAATTTCTCACTCCTATCTATCTATCTATCTATCTATCTATCTATCTATCTATCTATCTATCATCTATCTATCATCTATCTATGATCAAAGAGGATGCTGCTTATGGGAACAAAACCTAACTCTAAAGGAAAAACAACACTGGGCCATATTCTCCATATTTATTTCCAAACTGATCTTAGCCCAAACCAATATGGGCACAGCATCACTGCCAAATGGTTTTATGTTGAATACTATCTCCTCAAAGTAGAACCAATTTTGGAGAAAGCAGACCTGAACATATATTGGGCACGTGGTAGGCTAATTCTAATTTGCACAACTACTCAAATCTGAAGAAACAACACTAAAGGACAGGATATGCTGAAATAAAACTATGTGTTGATGAAAGACAGTTGCAAACTCTTTTGCAATAAAAAAAAAAAAATCTGATACCAAGGTGGTTTAAGCTAATGGATGTGCCTTAAAAAAAAGTGTAGTGGCAGCAGTGAGCCAGGAGGCACTTACCAATTTGCACACAGTTTCAGTTCACAAAGAAATGTTTTGTCAATTACTAATGGGATCTGTACACTTCGAATATAGCAAGGTTGCATAGACTATATTCACTTGAAAACCAGACATGGGGCAAAAAAAAAAAAAAAAAGACACTGGTTTGAAATGACCACATACAAGGGATGAGATACACAAGCGGTAGTTTGTCAATGTGTGGCGACATGCCTTGCCATGACCCTGTGACAGCAGAACAGTGATACCAATCCAATTTGTTTCCTACTATTTAAACCGATTTTTCCCCCGCCTCCCTTCCATGGTAATCTTGTGTCAGAATTTTGTGAACATGTTTAGTGTGCCACTGTTAAGATATTGTAAAGCAAAATAAGCCATGCCTATTTCGTAAACGTCATTGGGACATCAGAAACCAGTGAAAGATATTTCCGATTTGCCAACCAATGAGGGTCCTTTGGCTCTAAGGTCCCACATTGGCCGTCAACCAATATGTCATGTAAGGGCTGGTCCTGAGAGCTTGCTAGGCTGCTTCAGCCAGCCAGCCGGCCGATGGGGCAAACCCTGCTTGGCAGAAGATCAAAGAAAGCTCTGTTGCTTTCATGTACCTATCATGATGCCACTCGTGTGGGGCACCGAGCTGCTGTCAAATGTCTTCTCCAGGGCAGCCACTCCGAATTCGTTCAGGTCCAGGTCATCCAAGGCAGACTCTGCCAGACAGAGGCACCAATTATATATTACAAAAAGGACCAACAACTTCAAGGGAAAGGGAAGTCCAAAGAGTTCACAAAGAGATGTCACTGCTCTGGACTGGAGAATCTACAATGCAAGGCTGTCATTAGTCGTTTAAATGATTCAGCTTTCAATATTGTTTTTCTGTTGCCTGATCTGAATCCTAAGTCTCTTCAGTATCAGGCTGATCCCATAGATTGACACCGGAAATAACAGCAATGCAAAACAGATCTCCCTGCACACCTGCTGTACAGCTTGACCTTGGGTAGAAGTACATCCAGGGTTGGCTTTAATAACAGGTGCCCGTCCCAGTTCACCTGGCAACCTAGGTGTCCATGATGCATAGTGATTGGAATTCGCTAATCCTATATTTAGGAATTCCACTGTGGAGAGCAACTTGGATTGCAATTAATGATAGAGGAGATGGCAATAGGAATGAGGTGCAAGTATGGTAGTGGAAAGAAGGGAAGTGTGTATGGCAGTAATATACGTGGTTGTGTGTAGGTGGCGGGGAAGGGGAAATGAATTAGCATATCCTATGAAACAGGCTATAGCCAGCAGTGGCCCAATAATGAGCCAGCCATGTAGCACGGACACTGCCAGTTGGGGATGAGATGGAGCAAACCTGCACAGGATCATCCCTGGGGGTATTCCTAGCCAATGTATTTAATGTCTTGTCAAATGTTGTCTTATAAAGCATAGCATGGGTTGTGCTATATTTGTGACATTCTTGTTGTTTCAGAAAGATAAAAACTATAATATAAATAATAAACAATTTTAGATACTGAAAATGGATGTTTCCCCACTCTCACCCTTCTACATAGTTTATAATCAGTTTTCAAATTCTGCCTGGAAGTTACTTCTTGAGCATTTAGAAAGCACATAAAATGATTTCAGATTTCCTCAGAAATTTCCTATTAGAAAGTATAAGGAAGTCCCTGTCTAGAATTAAGAAATATATCCCCCACCAGATCCTTCGTAAGTGTTTTAATTTAGTGGCAAGAGTTGTCTCTTTTATTTGTATCACTCCAGGCCTGTAATAGAACATCAACAGTTAATAAAAATGATAATAGGTTACCTGGAGAATAAGAGACATGTATCAACCAATGCTAAATATCAATAATAATAATAATAATAGTAAATTGCAAAAGGCAGCTTTACTTGGAACAGAATATATCCTGCGATGATACCTTTAATATCATTAAACAATATTTGTCTCTCCCAGGTTCTTGGGAAGGACTGAGTGGACAAAAATGCCAAATCCAGTTTAAAAATCTGGCTGACTGTGCAATCAGCCATAAAAATAACAATAATACATTAAAAAGAGAAATGGTAATCCTTGTACAATCTGCACTCTTACTCTTCTTGGAAAGTCTTAGAAATTTAAATATGATAACATACGAACCCTTAAACAGAAATGTAAATAACATCTTTTTAAAATTCTGCACTTGAAATGTTTTGTTATTGCTGTCATAAATGGAAAAGTTTCATCTTTTTAATATTTATAAAAACAGCTGCTCAGTAACAGATTATACATGTCATAGGAGTGAATTTTTAGTGGATTGGCCCACACAATGGCACACTGAGCCAATTTGGTGACTTATGAGTTTAGGAAATATAGGATATGATGAAGAACATCAAACAAGATCTACACACACATATACACAGAGATTTAGGAGCAATCATGATCTTCCACTGACCATCCTGTCACATGGTCTTGCTCTAGCAAAAACAGCAGAGCTGTGTCACAATCCAATAAGTTTATTGTTGTATAAAAAACTTATTCCACAATAAATTTATTAGCCTTTAAAAAGATAAAGGACTGCTTGTGGTTTTTGCCATATTTTGTTTACAGAATTCAGCTATGGGAGCTGTTATGTAAGATTGTTCTATAATTTAATTTATGAAATATAAAAGAGTTCATATTAAATGCAAGTCATCAGCCAAGTCACAAAGCAATAAAGCATAGTTTCTACTGTAAGTCCTCTAAATAAAACCACCAAAGGCTTCCCACCCATAATGGATATTCTTCTTCTGGATTCCCTGCACCATCAATGTGCATAGGCAGTATTACCTATCACGGACTCCACAGTGTCACTAGTTGGGTAGAAAGGAAGGGCATTGGCATTCATGCCTGGTACACTGCTGGTGCCTGCTGGGCTTGGTGGTGTTGCTGCCAAACTAGAAGTAATGCTAGAGGAGATGCTAGATGTCAGTGGGCTGCCAACTGGAAGAATCCCTAATATATCCTGAAAGAGGAAAATACATTCATGTATTGGTGTGTTGAAAATACACTCATGTATTCCTATGATGCAACAGAATATTCAGAGAGAAGTAATGATATACTTGTCATAAAATAAGTATTTCTTCCTAACATTTATATCTTACACCCTTTAATTCTAAGGTACACCCAGGGCAGCTGATTGGTTCTTAGCATTTAATACAACACAATACAACACAACACAATAAAAGAAGACTGTTTGGGACTCTTTTAGAACAGAATAACAGAGTTGGAAGGGACCTTGGAGGTCTTCTAGTCCAACCTCCTGCTCAAGCAGGAAACCATATAACATTTCAAATGGTTGTCCAATCTTTCATTTAAAAGCCTCCGGTGTCGGACCACTCACAACTTTTAGAAGCAAGTTGTTTCCACTGATTGTTAACAGTTCATGTATATTGTCAACTGCATCACATCATCAAGTTATATAATTCATGATGACTGTATAATCTTGCCATTAAAAATTCAAAAGAGGCCTAAAGAAGACTTGTGAACTGCAGTGAACCTTCCTCCAATTATCTAGTCCAAGCAGTATTCAAAAATTCTGAGTTGGTGATTTTCTATTCACACCAACTTCATTTTTAAAAAAAATCTGAAAGAAACCAGACTGATTCTCAAATACTTAGGGAAGTGTCAATACCCTTTCAACTCCAATTAGCTTTTCACATATACCACCAACTGAAATCTACACATGAAATTATATGGGCCTCTAGAAACTATGCAGCATCCCCTGGAATAACATACCTGCTTGGGTTGTAACAGAGGTTGTTCTTGGGTTCTATGTTCCATGGAATGGGATTTGATTTTTGCCTGCTGCAGTAATTAGAAGGGGAAAAAAAGACATTACATGCTACTCAAATTGTCAACTTCTTCAGATGCTATACAGCACTTCCTCTCTTATTTTGTTACTTTCTGTAACATAAATTTCTACAAAGGAAAGGGCCAGAGGGCTTCCTGAAACTAGCAAATGAAAGATATTGTATCAACATTTTCTCTTTTCTTTAACACCTACTTTTTAAAAACTAGAAGAGATGGGATAAAATGATAGCGAAATACAAGGGGATAACAAATTGAAGACAATGTTGTTTGTATAGATTTAAAAAGTTCTGTAAAGGGGACGAAAAATCTGGGAATGTTATACCTAAAGATACAAATTACTTTAGAAACAGTATGGTTTACTTCATAATACAGGATAATACTACTGTATTATCAATGAAATGGGCTTGAGTTATGGCTATAATTGTTGAAGGGAAAGAAAGAATTCTTTTTTTTTCTTCTGCAACTTCAGATGGTCCTTAAATGAGACAGTCAGTAAGAAGAACTATTCTGAATAAATTCTCATTTGCTTATCTAAAAGATGAATTTATATTTGCATAACTTTTACTTTGGTCTATTTTATGAATCACTTCTGAAGCTTCCAAGTCTAACTGATGTGTAAACAGAGTAAATGTCAAGTTTCCAAAAGATGCCCTAATTAATTCATGAGCCATGATCCAAACTTCAAAGGAAATATATTCATTTATTAGGAGCAACATTCCGGCAATACTCGGATGCAGTTAGGACTGATCCTACATAGATTTACATTCCCCTATGACCCTGTCTCTCCCCTCCTCTCTGGCCATGTCATAAATCACATTCTCCAATTAACCACTTTGGCTGGCTGTGAAACCTAACACCCTCCTTCTGATTGCGGTCAGAAAGAATGTATGGAATTCACTTCAGTTCTCCCTCCCTCCTGCTCATGGCAACTTGAAAGCTTTGCAAGTTGACAGTAAATATGTTTATTCTGAATATCCTTTCCCAGACTTCCAATTCTTTTTGTTTTTGTTTTAAATACAAAACCTTTCCAGCAATGTCATTATCTCTTCTTCAAAAGCCTCTTCATACTTGCTTGTGTTTATGTATGTTCTCATGACCTGCACCTCTTAGATTCCCACAATACTATATAGCAGGGGTCCCCAACCCCAGGTCCATGGACTGGCACCGGTCCACGACATGCCAGAAACCGGTCCGCGCAAACAAGCAAAGCCCCATCCACAGGATGCAGGTAGCACACGAAACCAAACCCACTCCAGCCTACAGAAAAACCTCTCTCCACGGAACTGGTCCCTGATGCCCAAAAGGTTGGGGGCCGCTGCTATACAGAGATCCATGACAGGAAGTTTGCAACAATTATGTATGCATTACTTGACCACATGTCAGCCCTAAAATCAATTTACATAAGTTAGTACTCTTACAGTAACCACCATTGCAGAGACAGGGAGGTATTTTCCACATCATTTTTTTCCTTTTTTTCTGAATGACTGGGTCTACTTCAAAGAAATGTATGCCTTTCAATTCATTCATCATACATTACATACATTTTCTAACAATGATGCTACTAGGCTCATGTGACATGTAAGGGCTTTCTGCTTATGGAATACAAGAGGTATTCCAAGGAAGTAAAACGCATACTGCAAGGCATCTCTTCATTTTGCAGTGCATCCAACTTGCAATAGAACAAAAACTAATATTAATGTAGCTTTATAAAATTAGGATGGACAGACAGACCCTAAGGGATTTATCTGCAGATATTAAGGCACCCACAGGTACTATTAAGGTGCACAGGTACATCTAGCATGAAGTAGCAACAATTGGTTCCATAGCTAATATATCATATCATTAATGATAACAATATATCATACATACATACATATGTATATCCAATATCTTTTCTAATATTTTATATCTACCTGGCATTTGAAATTCTTTAGATACTCTGCTCCAACCAGGTCTTCCCGTTCAAATCCAGGTGCCTTCTTATAGCTACTTCCAGTAGTTACTGAATCTGTGGGGAAACCAATGCTTTCCAAACTATGGGGTTTTCCAATTGCACCAGGAGGGGATCCACATAAATTAGATGGGCTTCCAAGACTGCTATTTCTACAGAGGATCTAACAGAAGCAGGAAGAAAAGAAGATGATAATTTGTGTATTAGATTATAACACTCTCTACCTCTGCATCACAGCTGATAGTAAAATTCTAAAAGCTAAGTTGTTAAATTCAATCAGGTTACTGAGATATACAAAGTCATAATTTAATAAAAGTCCTAACAATTACATTTTGCCTCAGATCTTAGAAGTATATTGAGCATTTTTTTTCATCAAAGCCATATTTTTAAAGATGACAATATCTTTACTGCAACTTTGATTGTCTCTATAGTTCATATGCTTTTACAGCTTTCTGCGACTCTCAGAGATCCAGATACTGCATGAACTGCCGCAATCTCAATAGATCATATAAATTTCTAATGCAAAATCAAGTAGATTTCTTGCTGTAAATTGATGCTTTCATATTTAAAATGGTTTGGAATTCTCACAGCAAAAGAAGTAAAACCATGAAATATGTCCCACTTCTGCTTTAGGAAACAGGCAATTTGGAGATGCTTATCACAATAATGTGTTCCCCAGGTCAAAATAATGCCTCTTCCCCTAGAGAAAATACTTACTGTAGCAGAAGTAGGGCTAGTTGGTAGAGTTCCTGGTTTATTCCATACCTAGAGTGCAAAGATAAATGAAACACATCATATGTGACATGGGCTACAGATTTCTAGGAGACACACAGGTTTACTCACTTGGGCATATTTTTAATTAAAATAAATTTTATTCTTTCTGTCAGCAATATTACATATATAGTATATGTCACAGTATGATAAAAATTTGGACTGGGATATGTGTAAGATCTCATGCAGTATTATAATCTACTCTTCAAAATCCTCCAAAGTGAAAACTTATGCTAGGTAGTAGCAATTCCACTTCTAAAAATTGGTTGGATCCATTCAATTGAAAAGTGGCAAGATTCTGTTGAAGAATAACTAGAACTAACTAACATAATTTGTGCAATTTAAATGCTACAAAGATGCTGAGCTTGCTCTGAACCTGTAATCCTAAAGTTTTATCTAGGACAGGTGAATCCAATCTGTGGGCCACGAGCCATGTGCAGCCTTAGACAGCTAATAATGTGGACCCACAAGATCATAAACTTTTAACATTATGTGCTATTTATATACATTCACTATATTAAACATTTTAGCTGCATCCCAAGAATAATTCCTCTTCACTCAATGTGGTCCAGGCAAACCAAAAGGTTGGACACCCAAGATATAGGAGGAATTGCCATTATTCATAAACACAAAACACTTTTTGGGATCAAAAAGTGTTAACAATGTTCTTCCAGAAAGAGCTTATATTTAGAGAGAACTGCAGTATCACATGCTCAGTGAGGAATTTTGTAACAATTTTACATACATTGCTAAGGTCTGGGGCTTGTGGACTAGAAGGGCTGACAGGAACAGAATCGCCTGCTGCTGAGGGCATGTACATTACAGGGCCAGCTTGCGTTGGGCTAGAGACAGCTGACGTTGGCTGTAAATCTTCACTAAGTGGAGGTTCTATAGGAAACAGAACAAAACAAACCACGTGATAAATACAGTTACAAAAATGGGTTCACTACAACTCCATAAGAGCAGAGGGTAAACAGGCTATTATGCCCAGCACAGGTTCTAAAGGGCTAATCTTCCATCTGCAGCAATCTACAAACCACTATACAAAAACAAAAAGGTATCACAAGACTAAGGGAGAGAATGTAATGTCTTCCTTTTTTTCTATACCAATAATCTTAAAAGAATAGCAGTTACATATTCATAGTAGCTGTTTCCACTAGGCTTTATGCTGCCCTAATTTATTACACTTATGTTTGTTTATTTATTCAATGTATATTCCACCTTTCTCCCTAAAGGGCCTTCAAGACAACTAACAATAAAATATAAGCATTTTAAATAATTGTTAACTGAATCAGACTGGAACAGTCTGGCTGAAATTCCTTTTATATCGCCTGAAAAGACCTAATGGTAACTTTAATGTAAAAGCAGGTTCATATTGAAATAAAAATGTAATCAACCCCCAAACTATGTATGTTTTCAAAAATTAAAAATGCTTTTATTTATGATTGAAAAATAACTGATCTTTCAATGTGGACATAATATGATCACAGAATTGTTTACTGGTTAGTAGGCTGCTTATTTATTTTTGAGCTTAAAAATAGCTGAACCCTCAAAACACAAGCCCTATCCGTGAGTTCTTTCATCAGACCTTGGCTTTGCATATATTACCCCACTGCTTGTTTGAAAAGGCCAACAACTTTTATCCTACTCTCAATGCAAAAGATTGACAGGAAGAGGCCTAATCTGAAAAATCATGGATCCACAATATTGAAATTCTAGAATTTGCGGTGTACAAAAAGTAATGCACATTTAGGAGTGAAAAAACTATAATGACAACTAGGGGTTCAGGGAGTGATCTCTTGAAGGTTTGTGCTTCTATTCCAACTTTTTCTGTCTCAAGTGATTATCCTTGTTAAAAAGGGAAAATAGACAATATAATCAGATGACTGAAAATATCTGGATGCTCTAGGCATTTCTACAAGCAATTGTAGATATTTTCATTGTTGGGAAGCAATCAATGTCAAAAGCTTTAAAATTGTTTGCATTTTTTTTCCTTCACCATGCCCTTGTTTCATAATTGAAGGAAGAGCATGACAAACAATGCAGTAAAAAACTTGTTCCTTTTTGTTCCCCAGAATTAAATCATATCAATAGCAAATTATAACTTCAAAATAAGTAGTACACAGTATCATTCACAGTATCCTTAAATAGCCACTGGGTGTCACTTCTGCTTTGAGAACAAAGCGCAGAGCTATCAACCATCTGATGACTGAAGACCGCTTTCTAAAAAAATATATATGCAGTTTGAAATAAAATTCATTATATATTATTTTTAGGTGCCCTCCCCCATATGACTAATTACGGGGGAGGGAGGAAGTTTGGTTGCTTAGAATTGTACTTGCCTTGTTTAATACAGCAAGCAATGTTGTACTCTAAACAACACTCAGGACAACACTCAGTAGACAGATTATTGCTACATCAAGAGAAGACCACCTACGTTCTACATGTGCGAAGGCACAGAAGGGTCCCCTGGGACAGCTGCCAGACTGCTGCATATCATTACATTTTGTTGATTTGTAGATCTGGGAAAAATAAAAACAAAAAGAAAGTTGGGACAAGATGAAGCTGCTCAAACTCAGCTGCTTATAATGGATTTAAAAAGAGAGGAATGTATTAAGAAATACAATAGATAAATTGATGTTTCGTTTGCGCTTTATATGTAGACTGCATAAATCTGTGGAGACTGAGGCTATGCTGGGTCTTTGAGCAGCATGCTGGAATAGGCAGCATCCCAAAACACAAAGAACAAAATAGGCAGATCTACAACAAATATAATTTTAGTTTCATATAATTTAATTAATCAGCTAGATATAGATAATATATGACTCCAATAATTTTTCCTGCCTGTGATTCCAAAAAAGAGAGCCAGTAGTGGTGTAATGGTCTAAGCTAAGGCACCAGGCTAGAAACTGAATGACTGAGAGTTCTAGTCCTCCCTTAGGCATGAAACTAATTGAGTGGCACATGGAGCCATATCTGTGGGCACGTGAGCATTGCCCTAGTTCAGGTCCAGTGCGCATGTGTGCGCCAGCCAGCTGATTTTCGGGCCTTCCGGGCCCACCAGAAGTCGGGAAATGGGCTGTTTCCTGCCTCCAGAGGGCCTCGGGAGGTGGGGGAAGAAGGCCGTTTTCGCCCTCCCCAGGCTCCTAGAAAGCCTCTGGAGCCTGAGAAGGGCAAAAAATGGGCCTACTTGGCCCACTGTGCCATCACGTGCCAAAAGCGGGGAGGCGTCGTGCGCACATGCGCAGGGCACATTGAATTATGGGTGTGGGCACGCACACGCATTCCCCTCCCCGCGCTTCCCCCACTTTTGGCACGTGATGGCAAAAAGGTTAGCCATCACTGATCTAGGCTGTCTCCAGGAATCAAAGACTAACTTGAAGGCAAAAAAAAAAAAAAAATCATTCTAAAAATAAAATTTGGAGGACTCCGGTTGATCGAGGGCTGCATACAGTATAATCCTGAGCCTCAACCTATGCTTGGACTTAATATCTATAGAATTGTACCTCTTTAAAGAACTATTTCCAGTGATGTACACATATACATAATATATGGGCAGAATTATAGCATAATCTATGCTTATTTACACAGAACCTCTATGCATATAGAACTGTAGTGTCAATTATCTTTGCAATTTCCTCAAAGATTGTCCCATCAAATGGAACTATCCAGGAACCCTATTTCAGTTTAGGAAATGCTTTTTCAGCAACAGAAGTAATTCAGAAGAAAACTTTTCAATTACATGGAAATCAATCCAGACGCACTGCCCCAGCAATTGCTAGCCACACCTTCTTGGCACTTCCGCACATGGCTTTGGCACAGTTTCTACACATCGCTATCATCAAATGCCATCTTCTTTCCAGGATAGTTGAGCTGATTGTTTTTTGACTCCTTGTGAGACCTTTCACATCCCAAACTTTGTTTTAAATTTTTGGGATTTTGTGGCCTTTGGAAAGCTGTTTTTCCATCAGCCAAACTTTGCTTCAATCTGCCTTGTCCTCCTTAACTGGGAACTCTCTAGTATATTTCAGAAGCACCCTTGCCAGGGAGCCGAATCTTAAATCTTTTTAGTGAGTTTCTAAGCAATTTCACAATCTCTAAATAACAGAAAGGCTTGTAAACAGGATGCACTGAACTTGTATTTTACTGTATATATTATTGAATCTATACATTATATTTCCAAACACACACTAAAACATGCATATATAAAACATAGTAAAATAAAAATAAAAACCCAGCTCATTTTAGGGGGCTTATTCCATAGCCTGGGAAGCACACACGAGAAAGTTTTTCCGACTGTAAAACCTCTATAACTTCATGAGGCTACAGAACAGGCTTCACCTCAGTCTCAGAGTCTAGCTTTCTCCTTAACCAAAAAGTTTCCTTATTAAGAGCACCTCCATCTTCTGGATTTAACTTGTTTGTTCTCTGTCATCCAGTCTATTATCACAATGAACAAACTTCAAAGAGACTGGTTGCATCTTGGAATTAGAAGGTAGGGAGCAATTGAGCAGGTTGTCATCAACATATTTCTGCTCCACAGCTCTGAATGAGTTCCTTCTGAAGTTTCATGTAGCTTTAAACAGCACAGGAGGACAAACCAAGTCCTATGGGACACTATAGGTCCACATCCTAGAAGGTCAAACCATAGTCCTCCTGCAGCACTTTCTGACAGGAAGAACCAAAACTGTTGCAAAGCAGTGTTTCCAAGGCCAGATGGTCTTGATGGTCAGATGGTCAAGAAGAATACCATGGTCGATGGTATCAAAAGCCATCAAGAAGACAAACCGATGTATTCCCTCAACTCGTTTCTGGTGTAAATCATCCTCCAAGATAATCAAAACAGTAATTAGCATGAGTATTGTGCAGTTTATCATCTCCAGTAAATTGTGTAATCTCTGCATTTGTCTACGTAAATGACCAACAAGGAAGAGTCTTTACCTCTGGGTGAAACTGTTGCTCTGTACGGGTGTGACAGTACTGGCATGCATCTCCATTGTCACACTTACTAGGATCTCCCCATTCATCTCCATGTTTCACGCTAGGACATGGGGAGGATCTTTAGCAATAGGCAGAAAAAGAACGAATTAGAAAGTCATATACTTTTTGAGCCAAATAGAGAAACTGTATCTACAATATTTATATAGCTTAATTTCTGGCACTGAGCACCTTTATTGAGCACCTTTACTGTTTGAAGGGCAAATTGTACTTCATCAAACAACGCTAAAAGAAATCATTTGTATTTAATTCAAATTGGCCAAGGCCAATAGATTATAAATATGTAATTGGATTATAGCTGAGCCCTGCAACATCTCCCAAAATAGTGCTTAATGTTTACAAAAGTAAAGCTTGTGGCAGCAGGAACATAAGCAAAGGAAATAAATAACTGCTAATCAGCATATGATTAGGAAATATAATGGTTTTTCTTGTAATACACTTCTCAGAAAGGTACTATCTCAAAGTCTTCACTCTGAAACCATTAGGCTTGATGTTGATTTCAGTTTTCATGAGGAAACAATATTCTGAACATCATAATAGAACAGTTGCGTCTCAGTATGTATTCCTTGATTAATTCTTAGAATTTAACTACAATGGTGGCAATATGCTGAGAACTACAACTTGGAAATCCCCTCATAACAAAGAAAGCCACCTGCTCATATGCGAACTTATTTTGCACAAGGATTATTTTCTTTTTTATCTTGACATCATATTAGAGTGCAACAGGCTTAAAGCACATGCGCCCTAATCCTTACTTATGGCAGCATTTTACACAGATGTAATCCTGATCTATGAATTAACTACTTAATGTGAAATATAGTCTTCCCATCATGATTGATGTATTTATTACACTGAGATTAGAGTAAAGTTACTATCCAAATGAAGAAAATGTAAAGTCTTGGCCCTTTATAACCAGGTTTTGAAGCACTGTACCTGTATTTGTGTTTTCTAGGACTCCTTCTTCTATCTTTGCTATTATGATAATAAGGGCAAGCATAACCTTGGCGACAGAGGCGTGGGGGCTTCTTACACTGTTCTGTTTTGTAGTTTCCTAAAACGTAAGTTGTGTCTGTGAAGATAAGTATAATTAGTCAATTAAAATCCTAAGCATACTTACTTCTTTACAAATATATTTTTTAGAGGAGAGACTAATTCAAGTATAATTGGATTCAGTACTGTGTAAAACGCCAAGGAACTTACCTTGCCACCTTGGCTCTTCACTGAGTATTTTCTCTATCATAGCATGGCTAGCAGCAACTGCAGACTGACCTTCTATGCCACTTTCTGATGTGGTCTGACCATTCTGCAAAGCTTCCATGGCCTGAAGCTCCCTTAGGGAACATAGATAAATTAGTAATTATGCAGGTAAAGATACTCAAAGGAAAACATATGTCTCAATTGGCTTTTTGGAAAAAAATCTTTCTAATAATATTCAGATCCCTACTAAAAGCTGAGGTAAAAGGCAGCCCAGGAAAAAACATCACCACCAAAATTGCAATGGAAAAGGGTGATTTGCAGAGTTTATAGTTCTTAACTGTTTCCCCTGATTTTATTCTCTCCTCTTGGGCATCTCCTCTCTCTCAGACCCCAGATGTCTGTTGGCTGCATCATGGAAGAAGAAGTTGGATGAAGAGAATGAAAAAGGGTTATGCATTTCTCCCCCTGCACCTCTAACTGTATTCACAGATGTTTGGTGGTAATTTGGCTTCATTCACACATCTGCCTCAACCTAGCACTGAAATGGTGTGCTGTTTGCTGAGTATATATTCTTACCACAGAGCCTCCATCTCAGTGTCAGCGTTCTGAGGAAAAAGTGATGTTTTCCAATGTAAAACATAGTTCAATTTTCTATGCATGCCTTAGGGCTCTATAGCTCCACAGCAGTGGTGAAATCTAAAATTTGTTACTACCGGTTCTGTGGGCGTGGCTTGGTGGGGGGTAATGTGACTGGATGGGCGTGGCCAATTTTTTTTTTATCTTTTAAAACCATTTTTTCTACAACCTCTTCAGCGAAGAGATTGTTAAAAAAATGCTTTCAAAAGGCTCTGACGATCCCAGCTGAGTTGCCTGATCGGCAGAGGCTTTTTTAAAAAGGGAAAAAAAGGGTTTTTTTCTTTTAAAAGCCTTTGACGATCCCAGTTGAGCCACACGATCATCAGAGGCTTTTTTTTTTTTTTAACTTTTAAAAGCATTTTTTGGCCGAAGAGGTTGTTGAAAAAATGCTTTTAAAAGTAAAAAAAAAAGCCTGATGATTTTTTTAATTTTTTTTTTATTTTTAATTTGATTTATATGCCGCCCTTCTCCGAAGACTCAGGGCGGCTTACAATGCGTTAAGCAATAGCCTTCATCCTTTTGTATATTTATACAAAGTCAGCTTATTGCCCCCACAAACTGGGTCCTCATTTCACCTACCGTAGAAAGGATGGAAGGCTGAGTCAACCTTGAGCCTTGGCGAGATTCGAACCCTGCAGTAATTGCAGGCAGCTGGTCTTAATAAGCTTAATAACAGGGTGCCTTAAACCCCTGTACTACCAAGGCTCTTTTGATTGTGGACATGGGGAGAGGGCAGGGATTTTTGCTACCGGTTCTCCGACCCACCCGCCTCCATCGCTACCGGATCGGGCAATCCAGTCCGAACCGGGAGCATTTCACCCCTGCTCCATGGCCATTTTTAGTTTGGCTAGTAAGAGAAAACAAAATAAGCCAAGCAATCAAAGTTATTTTTCTTTTTTAGGCTCAGGTAGGAACATATTCCATGCTATCCTACTAGTAACCTCCACTGCTTAGTTTTTCTCCTCTCCAGTATTCTCTTGGACAGTCTGGTGACAGTCTGTCTCTTTCAGCAGGTGTAAAGACTTGTTGGAAAGGAAAAAAAATCTAGAGAGACAGGGTTCCTCTGCCCTCCCTGCTCCACTCCCTTTTCCTGAAGTTGCTCTTACCTCCATTTTACATTCCAGGGTTTTCATTTCGATTTAGCAAGTAAATATCACAGAATTTATTCCCTACCAACCTGATATCATAAACTGGAGAACGTAGGTCATGTGGTCCATGAGCAAAAGCACAATGAAGGCCATTCTTGGTGCAATTTCCTTTTGAATCAGTCTCATGGATGCAGATTCCAGTTTTGTAGTATCGCAAATGGTATCTCCGTTCTGTATCACCGGTAGTTCTATGCAGGAATGGACACCTAAGGAGGAGGGAGAAAAAGAAAGAGCTCATGGAAACTTAAAATCTCAAACATTCTTTCCAGCCCAAAAAGAAAAAAACAAAAACAAAATCCTTTTAGATAAATAGTCATCAGGTTTGAAAAATCCAGCATTTTTTCCTTCTGAAAATAATTCCATTTGTAAATTAAGAACATATATAAAGATTTAATTCTCTAAGCAATTATTTTATGATAAATCTCACAAATTTCTCTAGAATTATTACAAAGCACAAAACTTTGAAATGCAGGTTTTACTTTGGGAGGAATATATATAAAAGTAGTGCAATCATAATAAATACTTTCTTCAAGTTTTCATTGCAGTTTTTCCACATTCTTGATATGCTCTTCTGCAAGATTTTAAAAGCTGAATTGATGAAATCGCCTCTGTTAATACAGACTGGACTTTCCATCAGGGTCAAGTAAAATGCAACGTTAAATAACTTACTCATCTCCTTCAGGGCAGATCCCTGTGGTCTCATCATATTTGGTGCAGTAAATGTCAGGGCTATAGTTAAAGGTGCCATCCCGACGACGGATAGATCGGCGACGACGCTGGTTAACAAAGTGCCAGTGGAAGCATGTGTAGGGCCTGTGCTGAGTACATTTATGCTGCACAAACAGGGGACACTGCTCTGTGCGGAATTCCTTCAGGTATCTGCAGAGAGAAAGAGACTGGTTTGAGTTCTAGCTGGACAGTTCAACTGAGCCCCACAACGGATTCACACCAAATAATTCTCCCTTCTTATTTTAAGTTTGCATTCAAATATATTCACAAAAAAGCTGGTAGATGTGAATAAATTATTCATTCATTATTCATCAATCAAGACTTCTTCCCCAACACCCATACTTGGTGTATTTCCATTTGCCTTTTATTTTCCACAAGCAAGCCAGTGAGTTGAACATTCAGTTTAATTTCTCCATTCTCGAATCTTGTTTCAGTTGAGTTAAATTAGATTACCATCTTTATGTGCTGTCAGATGGGTATCAGAGCAAAAGAATCAAGAGTCTTGGTAGTACAGTGGTCTAAAGCACCCTGTTATTAAGAACAGCTGCCTGCAATTACTGCAGGTTCAAATCTCGCCAAGGCTCAAGGTCGACTCAGCCTTCCATCCTTTCTAAGGTAGGTAAATTGAGGACCCAGTTGTGGGGGCAATAAGCTGACTTTGTATAAATATACAAAAAGAATGAAGGCTATTGCTTAGCGCATTGTAAGCCGCCCTGAGTCTCCGGAGAAGGGCGGCATATAAATCAAATTAAAAAAAAAAGAGAGAGATAAAGAAAGGGCAGATAGTTTGTTGATAGTTTTTGCATTAGTTTTTGCATTAATTCATTACTAATAAGTCTATAGTCTAAAGAAGTGGGGACTTGCACTATATGAGAAGAGTAAGGAAAGGCATCAAGTATTTCTATCAGTTGAAGTTCTCACTCTCCTCATAATACTCAGGAGTATTATTTTGCAGGAGCAGAAAAGAAGATGGCAGGTCTGATACTGGAAAATTTACTTTGATACCAATGTAGAATAGGGCAGCCTGCAAACTGCCTACCCTACCCTAGCTCAAGAACATGAAATGAGATTCAGAAGAAAGCAAGAAAGTGTTTTGATTTATTATATATTATATGGAAAGGTAGATTAATTTTTTTAAAATTACACGTTAATGCTAGAAAAGGAAACTTCTGTGTCTGCTTTCATATGTTATTTGAGACTGTTAACCTCTGTTGCTTTCCAGGCCTTTCCACTTATATTATTTAGTTTTGCTGGAAAGCAGTGAGGAAACTAGAGACGTAAGAACTGGTCCAAATAAGGTAGATGGCCCTTAGCCTGATGATCCATCTATTTTATGCCCTCACTGGGAATCCTACACATTTAACAGAATACCCGTATTTTAGTCACAATTCTATACAGTTTTGCTTTGATGTGAGCAAGCAAGTGCACTTATGGTACAGGAATACATCTTTGTAACTCAAAAATATTTGAATTTTCCTAGGAAACTGGGTAGGATATTTAAAAAACAAAGTGTAAGACAATTGAAAAGGCATTGCTTCAATATTTACTAACATAATGTAAACTGAAGAATTTAAAAGCTTGAGTCCATTTGCACTATTTTGATTCAACAATTCCAGACAGATAGTCCTCGACTTAGTCTATTCAGTTAGTGACAGGTCAAAGTTACAGCAGTATTGAAAAAGTGGATTTATGACTATTCCTTGAAATTCCAGCCATCGCAGTCATGTAATTGCGCACTCAGATGCCTGGCTCACAATTACATTGCAGTGAGCCGTGTCATGTGATTGCCATTTGCAATCTTCCCTTCTGGATTCCCACAAGCAAAATCAATGGGGAAGCCAGCAGTTGCCCTAGAAAGTTGCTCCCACTGCTTTTTCTCCCGAGGAGCCTGTTACAGAGTGCAAGTTCCCAGGAATCTGGTACTTCATAGCACCCCCATCCATCCACACAGACCACCTTGCCCTCCTGAACCCTCCACTGACCCACCTGAGGTCACCCCCAGCAGCCTCCGCTGACCACCTGAGGCCTCTGCCAATTCTCTGTCAGCTTCTGTTGACCTGTCCATGCTCCCTAGTGCCTGCCTGCAGCACCTCCACCTCTCCCATAGCACCTGGACCCTCCCACTGCTTTTCCCGCTTAACAACTTGTACAACCTGGGGTTATGACAGCAACTGGGAGTCCCAGGATTGTTGTCATTAAATGATGCAGTCACATGATATTGCACTTTACGACTACATTACTCCCACTGCAACTATAGCAGCCCCAGTCCCAATTGTTGTTGTAACTCAAGGACTACCTTTACTGTCAAAAATCAAGCGTTTTTCAAATGTACAGAATTCTGTAGACAGTTTTGTCTGCTCAACACAAGGGAACAGTTTTGTTTAGGAACATTTGGCTGCAGTCTAATATTCCATATTCACTATTAACCACCAGAATTAGAGCATCTTTATTTGCAATGGTTTTTATCAATACCAAATTACATGTTTTTTAAAAAAGCATCCAAAATATTGTCTGAACTAAAGTAGGGAAACAAGCAAGCATACCGCAGTATTTACATCATGTAATAATTCATACTATCTTTATTGCAAATGCAAAAGAATTTTTACATCAACAACCTATTCCCAAAGGATTAACAAACTTCACATAGGAACAGCCAGTCAATAAAGTTCAACAATGCAAATTAAGCTTGGAAATCATCATGATCCAGGTCTAAATTTAAAGCAAGAAATAATGTATGTGTAAATGTGGACATAACTAGAGTATTCTAGTGTGAACAGTACAAGATATGTTCATGGATAGCCATTCAGCCTACAGTAAATAAATTGATTAGTAAGGCCTCAATCCCCAACCAAATAAGACAACTTCCTTTAGACTCTTAACATGATTAAACATAATCAAATTATAAATCACAAAGCTAGTATGCCATTTCATATGATCAAATGACATAGCTTTATCAAAAGGGAACAGGAAAAAGGAAAATCATGTCAAAATCATGTATCAGGCCTTCTATATAAGAAATCTAAACAAGATGTATACAGTATTTGTAGAAGTATTCCATGTTTCTATATTCTAGTAGGCCTAAAGAGGCTCTAAGACTGCAGGATGAAAATGTTCCAATAATTTGGGCCTGAAAGAGTAAAATATATGAGCCCAAAATATGGCATATTTAGTTGTCTCCCAGGTTCTTTACTTTGTGTGTCTATGTGCGATCAACCACGTTTGGGAATTAAGAATCTTCTATCATAGATTTCTCCTGTTCCCTTAAAAATGTTTTGTTTCAGGAGATTCATGGCAGAAGTAAGCAAGTGAGGGAAAAAAGTTCTCAGAATATAACGTTTTCCTTGCTGGTGCTCATATCTGGTCACAAATAAACTTTGTTCCTTATTTATTCCATTATTTTAAAGTAGTAGATAAATATTTCAGTTTGTTATTTCTGAAGATACATGGCTTTATTAATTTATATCTCTTTTATTAACTTTGGTGCTTAATGTCTGAGTTTTGCACTAGACCATGGTTTGTTAAGCTAGCCGTAGTGGCCTGAATTGCAAATAAACTTAGAAAATAAAATAGGAATGCATAACGTATTACTATCTGGGGACAACACTTAATTAACTTTTCTGAGGCAAAGCTGCAGTAAGATAATTATGTAAGAAAGCGGGCCCGCGTTTTGAAAGAGAGTAGAATCGGGATTATTACTTTTTGCCTGGAATTGGGATGGGGTAATTGCAAAGCTTCTACTACTTCTTGCATACTTTTTACCTCAAAATAGAGGAAGCCATCAATTTTTTGCAACTGAAGAGGGAAAAGAATTTTCAGGACCACAAAGTAACAGTATTTTCTAACTGCATAAAAGCCTCAGACTGTACTTTATGACAGGAGTAAACGTATCAGTGGATGGGTTTGTCCATTAGTCTTAACCAAAAAAACCAAACTTCATTATGGCTTAATGCAATATACCAGAAAAGGTAAATCAAGATTGTGGTCCTGCCTTTGATTTGGAAATGCAACTTCTGCTTTTTTTGACTCAACATTTTGAATATGGTATATTAATTTATTTTTAATTCAAGTAACCTAGGAACCTCTACTTAAGTTTTATCTCCAAGTCTGACTACTGGAATTCTAGAGACTGGAATACTGAAATTTTCAGTCTGTATTTTGAGTAACTGAAAGTAGAATGAGTTTGATTTTTGTCATTTTTCTATTTTCTGAATGCACCTGTTGGTGCACTTCATTTTTCCCTTAAAAATCATAACCAAACAAAGTGACCAGACCTGGAATCACTAAGAATTGTAACCACTTTTCTTGTGTAATAATTTCAAGTTTAAAAAATTTCCCCCTGAAATAGCTATTTCTTTTTTCTTTTCTTTTTTTTGAAAAGTATTTTTTTATTTTTTTCCAACATAAAACATATCTTTCAAGAGCGAAGTCTTGATCCGGTCATAGATAGGTAATCGCTTAAATATTAAAAAGCTCCATTCACAATTTTCCATTACATCTTTTAAAATTAAAGATCAGAACATAATAAAAAAAAATTTTTTAACATAGATTCTAGTATCTTAATCAGAACCATTCTATTATATTACTACCAATTTAATTTCCAAATAGAAGCTTAATTCATTTTATATACCCATTTATAAATTCAATTATATCTGGTTCTTTCCCAAGCTCCCTTCATTACGCCTTTTAACATCAATATCAAAACATAAGATTTTAAAAACTATTCTAACCTCTTGGTTGATTATTTACCTTACAATTTTATCACCACACATCTTAGTTTCAAATTGACTACAGCTCTATTTTTTATTTCAATTTATAAATCAAAGTTCTATCCATATTTCTTAATCTCTAGACCCCTTCATCAAATCTTTAAATCTTAAACTTTATCAATTTACCTTTAATTTTACATATTTCATATTACACAGATTTATCTCAAAATCCATATCCTCCTCCATATCTCCTCCTATTGTTTGGCTGATTTCCAGCATATTTTATTTTGGCTGATTTACAGCATATTCTCCTCGATACCTCCAACTTTTGTTTGGCTGATTTCCAGCATGTTTTATTTTGGCTGATTTCCAGCATAGTCACCTCCATACCTCCATCCATTGTTTGGCTGATTTCCAGTATATTGTGTTTTGGCTGATTTCCAG